TCTTTCACATATTTAATTATTTTTTTGCTGTTATCACTCAATTTGTCGCACCATCTCCTTCCTCCACACTTTGTCGGACCGGAGTGGTGCGGAGGCTGTATAAATTGAGACACAAATGAATAGCTGCGCCCTGCGCACCGCAGCGGAGCGGAGACGCATGTAATGTAAATTGGGGGTTATTTAACTGATAGATTTCAGTTTGTTAATGTTAATAATGAATCTTCTTCTTACACCAAAATTAGTCATGGTGTTTCTCAGAGTTCAGTGCTTGGACCAATCCTCTTTACTTTATATATGCTTCCTTCAGGTAAAGTTATTAAACAGCATGGGATAAATTTCCATTGTTACGCTGATAATACCCAGTTACGTATATTTATCCATGAAACCTGATGAATCCAACCAGTTACTTAAACTACAAGCATGTATTAACGACATAAAAACATGGATGACTCTTAACTTTCTGCTTCTAAACTCAGATAAGACAGAGRTTATGGTTTTTGGACCTGAACATCTTAGCAATCAACTTTGTAGCCTTTCACCTCCTCTGGATGGCATTAATCTGGCCTCCAGTTCTAATGTAAAGAACCTTGGTGTTATTTTTGATCAGGACATGTCTTTTAACCCCCACATTAAAAATGTTACCAGGACCACCTTCTTCCACCTGCGAAACATCACTAAAATTAGAAATATTTTGTCCAAAAATGATGTAGAAAAACTGATTCATGCATTTATCATGTCTAGACTGGATTACTGTAATTCTTTATTATCTGGGCTTACAAAAAACTCTTTAAGAAGTCTTCAGTTGATCCAAAATGCTGCTGCTAGAGCTTTAATGAGAGTTGGAAGGAGAGATCAAATTTCTCCAGTTTTAGCTTCTCTCCACTGGCTCCCTGTCAAATTCAGAACAGAATTTAAAATATTACTCCTAACATACAAAGCTGTCAACAACCAAGCTCCATCATATATTAAACATCTTATTGTTCCATACTTTCCTAACAGAGCACTTCACTGTCAGACTGCAGGTTTACTTCTGCTTCCTGGAGCTATAGAAATAAACTGAACTGTAGTGAACTGTAGTGAACTGTAGTGAACT